TTCAATTTTTAGTGTTTTTAATAGTGCAAGTGCAAGTTACCATTTTAAATCAGTATTTTGAAAACTTATTTAACCGCTAATTTTAATAAGATTTTACATGTATTTAATAGTGCAAGTGCAGTTTTATTCTATATTGGCATTTTATACAGATTTTATAGAGCCTTTTAATGCTTAATTATATGCCTATTTTACTAAGACTATTTTTTTAGGTTTTATCCAATTTTTAGTGTTTTTAATAGTGCAAGTGCAAGTTACAATCTTGAACCAGTATTTTCAAAACCTATTTAACCGCTATTTGTTTTAAACTTTACAGATGTTTAATAGTGCGTGAAATTTTATTCTATATTGGCCTTTTATACAGTTTTATAGAGCATTTTAATGCTTAATTATATGCTTATTTTACTTAAACTCAAATTTTTTAGGTTTTATCTAATTTTAAGTGTTTTTAATAGTGCAAGTGCAAGTTACCATCTTGAATCAGCATTTTCAAAACCTATTTAACCGCTATTTTTTATGAGACTTTACAGGTATTTAATAGTGCATGTGCAGTTTTATTCTATATTGGCATTTTATACAGATTTTATAGAGCATTTTAATGCTTAATTATATGCCTATTTTACTTAGACGCTAATTTTTACGGTTTTGTTCAATTTTTAGTGTTTTTAATAGTGCAATTGCAAGTTACCATTTTAAATCAGCATTTTCAAAGCGTATTTAACCGCTATTTTTAATGAGATTTTACAGGTATTTAATAGTGCAAGTGCAGTTTTATTCTATATTGGCATTTTATACAGATTTTATAGAGCATTTTAATGCTTAATTATATGCCTTTTACTAAGACCCTAATTTTTAAGGTTTTATTTAATTTTTAGTGTTTTTAATAGTGCAAGTGCAAGTTACCATCTTGAATCAGCATTTTCACTTATTTAACCGCTATTTTTTATGAGACTTAAGAGATATTTAATAGTGCAAGTGCAATTTTATTCTATATTGGCATTTTATACAGATTTTATAGAGCATTTTAATGCTTAATTATATGCCTATTTTACTTGGACGCTAATTTTTAAGGCTTTATTTTTAATAGTGCAACTGTAAGATACCATCTTGAATCAGTATTTCCAAACCTATTTAACCGCTATTTTTAATGAGATTTTACAGGAATTTAATAGTGCAAGTGCAGTTTTATTCCATATTGGCATTTTATACAGATTTTATAGAGCATTTTAATGCTTCATTATATGCCTATTTTACTAAGACCCTAATTTTTAAGGTTTTATTCAATTTTTAGTGTTTTTAATAGTGCAAGTGCAAGTTACCATTTTAAATCAGCATTTTCAAAGCGTATTTAACCGCTATTTTTAATGAGATTTTACAGGTATCTAATAGTACAAGTGCAGTTTTATTCTATATTGGCATTTTATACAGATTGTATTATAATGCTTAATTTTATGCCTATTTTACTTAGACGCTAATTTTTAAGGTTTTATTGTTTTTTAAATAGTGCAAGTGCAAGTTACCATTTTAAATCAACATTTTCAAAGCGTATTTAACCGCTATTTTTAATGAGATTTTACAGGTATTTAATAGTGCAAGTGCAGTTTTATTCTATATTGGCATTTTATACAGATTTTATAGAGCAATTTAATGCTTAATTTTATGCCTATTTTACTTATACGCTAATTTTTAAGGTTTTATCCAATTTTTAGTGTTTTTAATAGTGCAAGTGCAAGTTACCATTTTAAATCAGCATTTTCAAAGCGTATTTAACCGCTATTTTTAATGAGATTTTACAGGAATTTAATAGTGCAAGTGCAGTTTTATTCTATATTGGCATTTTATACAGATTTTATAGAGCATTTTAATGCTTCATTATATGCCTATTTTACTAAGACCCTAATTTTTAAGGTTTTATTAAATTTTTAGTGTTTTTAATAGTGCAAGTGCAATTTTATTCTTTATTGGCATTTTATACAGATTGCATAGACCACTATAATGCTTAGTATTATGCGTATTTTACTTAGACGCTAATTTTTAAGGTTTTATTCAGTTTTTTTAATAGTGCAAGTGCAAGTTACCATTTTAAATCAGCATTTTCAAAGCGTATTTAACTGCTATTTTTAATGAGATTTTACAGGTATTTAATAGTGCAAGTGCAGTTTTATTCTATATTGGCATTTTATACAGATTTTATAGAGCATTTTAATGCTTAATTTTATGCCTATTTTACTTATACGCTAATTTTTAAGGTTTCATCCAATTTTTAGTGTTTTTAATAGTGCAAGTGCAAGTTACCATCTATTTATTTTTTATAAAACTTTACAGGTATTTAATAGTGCAAGTGCAATTTTATTCTTTATTGGCATTTTATACAGACTGTATAGAGCATTATAATGCTTAATTTTATGCCTATTTTACTTAGACGCAAATTTTTAAGGTTTTATTCAATTTTTAGTGTTTTTAATAGTACAAGTGCAAGTTACCATTTTGAATCAGTATTTTCAAAATTTATTTAACCGCTATTTTGTATGATACTTTACAGTTATTTAATAGTGCAAGTGCAATTTTATTTTATATTGGCATTTTATACAGATTTTATAGAGAATTTTAATGCTTAATTATATGCCTATTTTACTTAGACGCTAATTTTTAAGGCTTTATTCAATTTTCAGTGTTTTTAATAGTGCAAGTGCAAGTTACCATTTTGAATCAGTATTTTCAAAATTTATTTAACCGCTATTTTGTATGAGACTTTACAGTTATTTAATAGTGCAAGTGCAATTTTATTTTATATTGGCATTTTATACAGATTTTATAAAGCATTTTAAAGCTTAATTATATGCCTATTTTACTTAGACGCAAATTTTTAAGGTTTTATTCAATTTTTAGTGTTTTTAATAGTGCAAGTGCAAGTTACCATTTTGAATCAGTATTTTCAAAACTTATTTAACCGCTATTTTTTATGAGACTTTACAGGCATTTAATAGGGTGCAATTTTATTCAATATTGGCATTTTATACAGATTTTATAGAGCATTTTAATGTTTAATTAAATGCCTATTTTACTGCAATTTTTTATGACATTTAAATGCTGTTATAGTATTTTTATCCTTATTTATGGTGGCTCAACTCCAAATGGTGTTACCAACTGGAGACGGAAAACCAACACTAAATCACAGATAACTCTCAGTGGAATATTATTAGTAAGTTAACCTGTTTCCAATATATCAGGGCTTTATGCCGTATAATATTAAACTTAACGGAGTTAATCCCAAGCAACAATTTAAGTATTTGTTACGTATATGGGACTATTGAAGAAACTTTAAAGTGTTTTGCGACAGTCGCCGGTCTCTTTATATTACTCTTTCAATAATGGGGAACATTTATTGAGTTCCAAAAAGGTAGCAAATTTGTCACTAGCTATAAACCCTGCTACTATTTGGAACGTAGCTGCTAAGTTATTAGAACGTTCCAATATCGTTGCTAGAGCGTTATAATTACTTTTATTTATTTGTTTTTACTTCTATATTAACTGTCTGTCAAACTTATATTAGATTATACTATCCCCCCTTTTTTTAAATGAAACCACTACGGACTTTTCAATGTCGTCGTTTATTAAATATGTATTGGTAGTTTATAACTTCCAGAATAACAATATAATATTCAATTAGGCAGATAATTTTATAAACCTTTTAAATTTTACTGTTGAACTTATGAATTTAGTTAAAAGTAAAGAACCATTTGCAAACAATTAAAATAATTTATTATTTACATTACCACGTGGCACGGTACAGTAAAAAAAGGCCGATAAGAAGCATTTTCTTTTGAAGTAGTTTTCGCTACTTTAAAATTTTTTCCACCTTAATTTACTTTACGGTAGTTTTGGTTTGTACCATAAACGTTCCAAATACTAAAATAATAACTTTTAAGTTATTAACTTTGTAGTTTTTAACTCATGTTCCAGTTTCGAGATTTTAACTTGCAAAGAGACTACAAAGTAAAAATAATTATAATGTAATCTTTAGGTAGCAACCGAAAGTAACTGCTACAAATAAAATTTACTTGAAAGTTTTTTTTACTTTTAACACCTTTTTTAAAGTTGCAAAGTCTTCTAGGGGGCAACCAAGTTTTACTTAAATGTTTATTACTTTATAGTAACCATTTAAGGAAAGAATGAAGTTTCTGTTACAAAATATTGCTATTTAAAAGTTAATTATACTTAACTAATTTAGTTATCACCACTTTGGCAATGGTTTTTGGAACCAAAAATGCTGCTTGGGATTAAACTGTAAATCTTGTATGCATAAAACATAACCTAAAATAATCTATTTTTCCCCTAGACTCCAATTGCACATCTGCTATGTCTCTCTGTAGGACTGAAAACCATGCCCTTGACTGCCAGTTGCCTGTGAAAAGCCCTGGAACATTTGCCTGTCCCGATTGAAGGCTATGAAAGGACCTTTGGGTTAACAGTCTACGATACTTTTGTAAATACTGCATATAATGTATATAATGATTCTATGATTTTGTACATATTTTTACCTGGGTAAATAAATCAGTTTAAGTTATTTTTGCATTTTAAATTAGACCACCAACCCTAACTGATTCTTATAAACACTACTTTCTCCACTGAATAAAAGCAACCTGAGGTAGGTATTCCTCTGTATCTGGAGAGGAACCTTGGTAGAGTTCTTAAGGCCATAACCAGCCTAGGTACGACACAAATTTGAGAAATGTTTACATAAAGAGGTGCTCGTAATAGTTAAATTGTGCAAGTTTGTTTGCAAACACCATTTGCTTTACCATTTTTAATTTTTTTTATGCTTTATAAATGTGTATTTTTTTAAACATAATATTTTTATATATATATATATACATAATTAATTAACAATAAACTGTTTTTCAAATATTTTATTTTTATTTAACGAATAGTTATAAACTCAATTGCAAGATACAGTATTTGTTCTTAAACCACAAAAATGTAAAAAAAAAAATTTGTTTCAGTGAAACATCCACAACATGCCGATACAATGGATGCTTCTTCTCTGGAACAGAACACGAAGTAATGCTGCATATTATCAAAGAACACGAATTTCAAAATAAATTAATTAAAGTTAAAAATACAAATATTAAAAAAATAGACCACAATAAGAAAGCTATTAATAGCAGAATAAAACTACCATGTCCTTATTGTAATTTCAAAGCACTTAACTCAAATATTTTAAAGAATCATATGATTTTAAACCATAGACATCAACATAAAATCAACGTTACATTTGTTTCACATTTAAGATTGATTAATGAGGAAAAAGAACATACATCAAATACAGGTCCTTCGAATCATTCAAAATGTCCGTACTGTAAGTTTGTTACAAAAGGAAATCATCTTTCCCTGCAAAATCATGTTGTTTTTAAACATAAAGAAGAAAATGATGTCGAGAAAAAGGTGACAGTGTCTCCATGTATTTTAAATAATTATGTCACTACCATGGAAAAAAGAAAAGAAAAAAGAAAAGAAAAAAAAGGGTATTCGTGTAGGCTTTGCGACTTCAATACCAAAGTATTAACTGATTTGCGTGGGCATCACAGTAAAAACCATAAGAAAAATTAGAGCAATAGCTTTTAAATTGAGATAAATAAAATATTTTTTGAGTTATTGTCAAGTGTAATGTAAATACTTTAAGAAGTAGTTTGTAGTAGCTTAGATCTGACTGTTCTACATTCTTATACTATTTTTTGTACGACTATTATACGAAGACATTTAATAAAAACTTCTTGAGTATTTTTATTTTGGTATTTTGTAGTATATTATGTATCAAGTTTGATAAACGCCATTTTAGAAAAGTTTATAAATGAGGTGCATACTATACTTTTTCTACGACAAATACTTATTATTATCTTAAAATGATTTAAATCAAAAATTTGTGTAGAGCGGCATCTATGAAACAATAGGGGAATCTGTGTGTCACCGTCAAATGGCAAATTTATACATTTTATAAACACAATTATAAAGGTTATAAATCGAAATGTATTTCTTGAAAATTGACAGTTTTTCACAGTGAAAGTAAAGAAAATGTTTTATAAGCACTTTACAGTGGAGTCCATGCCCGAATTTAAGTTATAGTTTGCCGGCGAAATTAAAAGGTCAGTACAATGTTCATATAAACTTTTCAAATATTGGCGTTGAGAAACTATTTAATACTTTTGTATTTTTGTGTTGAGATAATAAAATAATTTTCACATTTTGTATTATTTTACAAGAAAGGCAATTTATTTTAACGATTGTATGACATTTGACAACTGTCAACTAACTTAAAACTAACTTCAGCTCGTGACTAAAAACCTGTTGCTAACTTCAGCCCGTGACTAAAGCGCCATAAAGCCACAACTTGTCAACTAGTGTCATGAATTTATTATAAATACGTTTGTTATTATATTTCTTAATGTCCCGTTATTGTCAAACGCGCTTGACAAGCTGCTAGAAATTATGTTTTACTGATAAAAAAGAGTGATAAGAGTAATTCTAAAAGCAAAGAAAATGCAGACATTCAACAATCGTGGGAAATAGGACGTTTCTCTATAATACTGTATACGTGAAAAAATTAATAATAATAATAATATTTATCGGTCTAAAGATCATTTATAATGATATAAGACAAGTCAATACAAAATTCAAAAAAAGTATAACACTTTCTAACTATAACTTATAATAAAAAAAAAGAAAGAAAACTATGGTAATTCGATGCATCTCACGTTAGTCATTTAAGAACTCATCCTCTGAATAATAATAAGTTTTCTCAAACAAAAATAATTTTAAGTTGGACTTAAATGAATTTAAAGATTGCATTTTTAGGCTGTTTTCAAATTTATTGTATAATAATGCACCAATGTAAAATTCGACTTAAATAGTTCCAATCGATGCAAACTTAATTATAAGTTAAAACCATTCCTTGTGTTGTACGTGTGATGTTCATTCAAAAAAGATTTTGTTTGACATACATTGGTGAGTCCAAGGCGTTTTAAGGGAAATAAATGAGCTGTAAAGCACTAAAACATGCTGAATGTGGCAATTCCAATTTAAGCTAAAATCTACATAAATTCCCAACAATTTGAACTCCGTTACCTGTTGAATTATCTTTTTTAATTTTACATACCTAAGGACTTTCTGTATAATTTATTTCCACCTTCTTAGTAAATGACATTTTATAGGTTAATTTTGTTGTTTTTGTATCCAAGTAAACGAAACATTATGGGAACAGACCTGTAATATTTTACGGGCTTGTATAAAAGACCTGTAAAGTTTTACAAGCTTGTAGAAAAGCAATTTATGACATGAAATGACACATTTGACAAATTAATTAAAACTTTAAATTTGAAAAGGTGAAAATAAAAGTTTGTACGTGTCACGCTTTGCTATTAATCTTTACTGGGCTCACCGGATTATGGGGTTCGCTCCTGCGTCGCTCACCCCACAAACTTCCAGCTCGCCCGTAAAGATTCATTTACAAAGCTTGACACGTAAATAACTATTAAAGGCAGGGGATAAAACTGCATGCTGTTTTTATTACAAGTTTATTGTTTAAAAAGTAATTTGACAATTTTTCAAGTGTCTCACTTACTTTTGAAACTATTCTAAATTGATCTTTACTTGTAATATCATCAGCAAATGCACAAAAAAAATGAACTGATTTGTTCATCTATGTCATTAATGTAGATGAGAAACAATAATGGTCCCAACACACTACCCTGCGGAACGCCAATGTTAAATCTTAATTCAAAGGAGCGGGAGTTACAATATTCTACGTTATGTCTCCTATCATGTAGAAAGCTTCCTATTAAGTTATGGCATTGACTACGTATACAATACGATCCAAGTTTACACAAAAAAATTTGTGATCTTCGCAGTCAAACGAAAAATCAACGAACAAGGCCATGACTTTTGTCAAGATGTTTAAAAACAAAATTTAGAAATGTTACCAAGGCATGAGTTGTCATAAAAGTCATAATACGTAAAAAAGAATGTTTTCAATAATTTTGGAAAAAACGGAAATTAACGATATGGGTCGGTACACAGAAAAAACGCTAGCATAGCATGAATGGGTGAGTCATTAAATCAATGGGATCTTGTAATCCGTATTCCTGAATAACAGTTCCTATAATACCAATAGGTAGTTAGCACTTGGTTTATAATCGTTTACTGTTTTGAAATTAACAACAAAAGTTATCGCTCCTAAATCTATTGATATTCATATTGATATTTATTTGTTAGAATTGTAGAATGTTATTGCATTAAATACTAATTTGATTTATTTAATAACGTTACTATTGTATGTATACTATGTATACATTTAACGCAATAAATTCTTTGACATTCAGGCAAAATATTTCCCTATTTTGGTTTAATAGTAATTAATTGAGCAAACAACAATTTAGATTGCATCAATTTTAATGCATTCAATGACAGCGCTGTTCTTGGTACTATGTTAGATTTTTTTCTGTGTAGTTTTCAATATTTTTTTTGTAAACATAATTTAAACAGAAAAGTTTATATTGAGTTGCATACTATATACTTTTTACACGACAAATAGGAACTTAATATTATCTAGAAAATGATTTAAATTAAATATTTGGATAAAGCGACATCTATACGAAAATAAAAAAACATCCCAATAAACATTTTTAATTAAACTTAACAGTTATTGATACTTTAAAATATTAAAATAACTTCAAAATATGATTATGTTAAGAACATATATACCATGGACACAGTTTATCTTGATATTCGGTGTCATGCCTTAAAATAGTTAAAATGCTTAAATGGACGAAGTTTTTATTTATTTATAAAAAAACTTTTCATAGTCTTTTAGTACCATCATGATATCCTTGCAGGGCGTCCTGAAAGTATATATTGCTTTAGGACTTTCAGCAATCTTTAGGATTCGCCTCTAAATACATAAGATGAAATTCCTATTTCGTTTTAGAATAACCATGTGCCATGGCAAACAGATCCTCCACATCCAATGCAGTAACTGTTGCTAGTGATGGGTCAGCAACTTTCTTAGAGCCTAATATCTAAACTTCTAGTGGGTTCCTAAAAGTTCCTACAGAAAACAGAACAGTTTCATTTTATGGATCGAAAACCTGTTTACACAAGACTACCAGAAGCAGTTTCCAGAATTCATTTTATTTAAAGTTCATATTAATGTATTATACAACTAATATTTGCACAAGAATATACATATTTAAAGGAAATAGAGCTTTGATTGCATTTAATGTAGCCATTTATTAGAAACCATAACTTTATTTATGCCAATGATAGTTTTTTATTAAAATTCATTGTGGCTTTAATTAAATAACAATTTAATTCAATAATTTCTTATGTTTTAACTAACTAAGTTTTAATACGGATTTAATAGAACCACAATTTAATTCAATGACTTCTTATGTTTGAACTAATTTTAAGCAGGTTTGCACAAATAAAAGTAAGACAATTATTCATTTAATCATAGCTGTAATTCAGGTATTGGAAATACAGTACACCATTGGCTCAATGGTTAACCCATTCACAATATAAAAGCTTTTTCTCTGTGTATATGCTCCGTCGCCATATTCAACGATATCGCAGTTGTCTTACTCTAGTACACAATTCGTCCGCAGGAGGCTAGAAACAGTGTTCTTTGGCAGTAGAGGCAAAAAATTTCGCCGCACTTACATGAGAACAAAACCTTGCCCCTGTCTTACGAAAAAAAAAATAAAATTCACGGGCCGCCACTGCTCAGCAAACGTGTCAACCATCTTGCAGACAGTTTTCTCATATACGATATACGAGATATTACCAACACATTCTTTTGCATTACCTACTTTATTTCCTTGGACGGTATTAGTACATGTAATGAAATTTTGTATAGTACGTAGTAATAAATGCTTAGTTAAATAATAAAAGTACTTTTATTTCAAAGTAACTATAATGTTAATTTGTTATCAATAAAACATTAACATAATTTTTTTCTTTTAGGAAATCAATAATCAAATTAGAACCAATAGATGAAAAATTAAGTACAGGCGATTATAACTTAAAGTTGAAATGTATCCTATGTTCATTTACAACTGAGGATGATAATTTATTATATTTGCACAGAAAAGAACATGCAGTTGAAACTGAATCAAGAACAAGTAATAATAAATGTCCTTATTGTCAATATTCGACTAATTTAAAGCTAAATTTGGAAAGACACGTTGTTTCGAAACATAAATGGCAAAACGATTGTGAAAATAAAATTAAGATTGCTACTACAATTTACGAATGTAAACTTTGTTCGTATCGTACATTGGTTAAAAGAAATTTTTACATACATACAAAAAGGTGTAAGGAAAGGCATATATTAAAAAACCAGATACAAAAAACATTTAACTGTACACTTTGTTCCTATAGCACAATGGACAAAAGTAACTTCAAAAAGCACGAGAAACGTTGCACAAAGAAACATGAAGCGCAGTACGAAATAAAAAATAAAGTTACAAAACAAAAACCCAACTCTCATGAGCATACTAAATCCCATATATCATGTCCCTACTGCCCATATTCGACCATTGTTCGAAAAAACATGGAAA